CAGTCCAGTATTTCTCTTGAAAATACATGGAAAAATTCTTAATAAAATTTTAGCTAATCAAATCCAACACATAAAAAAGATACCAAGTAAAGTTTTCCTAGGTATGCTGTTAATTTAAAATCTGAAAATCAAACAATACAATTCAATAACTAAAAGAAAATATAACCACCAATATGTAAGGAAAAAGTCATTTGATAAGATTCATTCTTTCATGATAACAATTCCCAGCAAATCAGGACTATCACAACTTTATAAAAGGTATCTATGAAAAAAAAACTGATGATCTTTCTCCTAGGATCAGAAAAAAGACAATGATGTCCACTTTTACTGTTTTTATTTAATATTGTTATTAGAAGCTTTAGCTGAGGCAGAGGACAGAGGAGCGGTTCAGAACATTTCAATCAGAAAAGTAACAATATGATTTCTACGCAGAAAACTTTTTTTGGAATCCAAAAAAAGTCCACTAGACATAATAAGTGGTATTAACAAGGTTACAGTTTGATAAAATATCAATATACAAAAATAATGTGGGGGCCAGGGGGATAGCTCAGTAGCATAAGTGCTTCCCTGGCAAGCGCAATGGCCTGAGTTCAATCCCCGGTTCCCCCAAAAAAACAACAACAATGAAAAAAATAAAAAATAAATGTGTATATACTAGCAACTAACAACTACACAGTAAAATTTAAAACTTTTCAACAAGAAAAATGTAAAATATTTATGGGACAAATATGACAAAAGCTGCTTAAGGCCAGTACATTGAAAACACTGCTGACAAATTTTAAGGGCAGATGCCATGGTCACAGACTGGCAGACCTCCTAGTATGACACCTCTCCCCAGACTGATACAGACTCAAGGCCATTCTAATAAAATTCTAGTAGGCTTTTATGTCAAAAATCACTATTTCTAAAATCTACATGGAAATACAAAGGACCTACAGTGCTAAAACAACTCTGACAAAAGTAAAAAAAGGTAGAAAATTAACACTACCTATTTTCAACAATTATAGAACTGCAGTAAGAAGATAATTCAGTAAAGATATTCTTCAAAAAATTAGTTATCTATTCAAAAGGAAAAAACATAAAAACTTTCAATTCAGAGTGAGTCATATTCAAAATTTAAATTGAATTGCAAAAACAAACAAAAAATCTAAAAGTACAGAATTTCTAGAAGCAAGTATGAGAAAACCTTTTTAATCCTGGATTAGGTAAAGAATTTTTATATTGGACACAAACAGCATGATCCGTCAAGAAAACGTGATAAGCTAAATTTCATCAAAATTTTACATTTCCTCTGTTTAAAAAAGTTAGAACAGAAAGGTAGATTGAAGGAAAACATATGCAAATCGTATTTAATAAAGGAAATGAATCTAGACTACATAAAGACCTCTTAGCATTCAACCAGAAAATAAAAAACTGAGTTTAAAACACAGCAAAAGATTAACTAGAAACCTCAAAAAAGATACACAGATGGTAAATAGGCACAACAGACTATATTCAATAGCTTTAGTCCTTAGAACTACAATCCAGGATCAAGCTACTTATGAGATCCTAACAAGTGAGGTAGGAAGCATTGTGGATACAGAAGAATGAAGGCTGCTTATAAGGAAGAACACATAAGCCAACGTTACTAAAGCAGAGTTGATTGAGGAGGGAGGGAAAATGGTTGAAAAATAAATCTCAGCCAGGTAGCACAGAAGGAGGTGGGATCAGGCCAGCTATATTTATATTCTTGTAGCCATTATAAGGCAAGGCTTTTACTCTGAGACTGAAGTCACCACAAGGTTTTGAGTAAAGCGATGGCATAATACCATTACTGTCTTTAGCACATTCCTGTCGGCTTGAGGCTCTGGTGGTACAAATGAATCTGATCACTTGTGTTAGTCTTGTACTAAGAAAGTAATAAAAAGCTGCCCAAGTAAACCCAAATTCCTAGAAACTTTAGAGGCTAGACTACGGTGAAAAGAGATTATATATCCTAGTGCCCCAAATCTGGCTTGTGGCAGTCTTTCAAATCTAACCCTTTCATAACTTTCAAATCGCACTTTCAATTCTGGCCTTTCCGTCCACACGTCTGCTTTACTACTGAACCTCCCACCTCATCACCAGCCCCTTCCTGAACAGGACAGCCTTTCACCCCTAGTTTCTCTTGCCTAGCTGATACTGACCCATTCACGGGCTCATGTAATCTCTCTTATATACACTTGGGTAATGTCTCATAGGGACTATCCTCTTATCTGAGTTTGAAGCTACTTCCACATCAAGGTACTTCCACTTTCTTCAGCCAAGTACCTGTTGAACTGTATCACTGGCTTTCTTGTCTGACCCCATCCAGACTTAAGTTCATGAAGACAGGGGGCATGTTTCTGGCATGTCTACACTCTGCATTCAAGAGCACATAGCTGCTGCTCAGTGAATGGTGTGCAGTTAAGGAGATTTAGAAATATACTGACTCAAACATATACTTAAAAGGTCAGGTTGGTCCATGACACACTAAAGCTGAGGGAATGGTAAAACATCTGAAGAGAGATGTCCTGTACGAGATTGTGGGTCATGACGGTCAGGCTAAAGGACAAGCATAAGGCAGATGACTTAGAAATTTAGAAAGCAGAGGATCAAGGATTGCTATTCAGGTAATAGAAACTGTAAGAAAAAATTAAAAATGGTATAAATATTTAGGCACTTCAAAATGAGCTTAAGGCCAACCTGAACTGCATAGCAAGACCAGTCTCGAAGAAAGAAACAAGGGGCTGGGGAGATGGCTGAGTAGAATAAGCATCTCCCTGGCAAGTACAAGGGCCTGAGTTCAAATCCCTTCCTCGAAGGAAGAAATGAAGGAAGGAAGGAAGGAAGGAAGGAAGGAAGGAAGGAAGGAAGGAAGGAAGGAAGGAAGGAGAGAGGGAGGGAAAGGAAGGAGGGAGGGAGGGAGGGAAGCAGCATGGAAATCAAGACAGCTGCTCCATAACCCATAGGTATCACGTCTCTCACTTATTTGGGACCTGACACAGTACCCAACAAGTGTGAAAAATTAAAAAATATTTGTGGAATAGAGTGAATTAAAAACACAACTCATTCCTGAGAGCTAACATACCTCAAATTGTCAACTGAAGGCTCAGGCTCCTCTACACAGCCTTCAAAATCTGTCCTGTACACAGGCAGATCTCAGCGTCCTTAGAGAGACACTAACCCAGGATTTCTCAATTAACCCCGCACAGGAAAGGATGTTGTAATGTTCCTTCGAGAAGCACAAGTAGCTGGCATTCAGGTCACAGCTCAAGACTGTGGTCTTAAGTTAAAACTAAGAAGATTCCAATCATAACCCAAGTTGTTTGTCAGGCCAGTCATCACTTGAGGGACCACTGCATATGAACAAAGCATCACCCTCTGAAAGTCAGCATGTAGATGAGTACTTATTAGCTGTGGTTAACTTTACTTCTAAAATTTTTGCCTGTCTACCTGCCTGCTTGCTTTTCTTTCTTTCTTTCTTTCTTTCTTTCTTTCTTTCTTTCTTTCTTTCTTTCTTTCCTTCCTTCCTTCCTTCCTTCCTTCCTTCCTTCCTTCCTTCCTTCCTTCCTTCCTTCTTTCTTTTTTGGGGGGTGGTATCTGGGATCAAACCCTGGACCTTGTGCTTGCCACACAGACACTTATGCTGCTGAGCAATCTCCCCAGGCCTTCTAGCTAGTCTTTTTTGTTCTAGTGGACTACTCATTCATCCTTATTCTTTTTGTTCTAGTTTTTCATATCACCTCTGCTCTTACTTTAAAGGAAGTGTATGCCAAGAAGCTGCCAACCTGAGAAAAGGTTAAGAACTGTCCATGCTTCACATTCTTTTGATACTGCAGCTGAAGTATTCCTCAAATTATTTCATCTCCATCAGCCAGGAAGACCCAATTTACAAATTAAAGACAGATCCAGGGCCCGGCCAAATAGCTCAGAGGATTCAAGTGCCTGCAAGAAGGCACAGGGGCAAGGAGTTTGATCCCTGGGCCTGGCCTGCCAACCCCCAGCCCCCCACCCCCAGGCACTGAGAAGGCAATTGAGACCGGGCGTGGTGGCACACGCCTGTAATCCCAGTTCCTGGGAGGCTGTAAATAGGCAGATCACTATGAGTCTGATCTAGTAGTGAGACCCTGAACACCCTGTAGACCCTTCCCTAAAATACAAAAAAAAAAGATCCATGATCAAAATAATCTATTTCAGGTAAGGTAAGTAGTGTACAAACCAAAATATCTTCAGTAGCAACCCACTAAATAAACCCAATACCCATCTAAAGGAATCATCATAATAAATCATTTTCATAATAATGAATCATTTCCTTTATAAGTCAAGTAGGCTGAGGACATTTAAAAACAATGACATGACACAATTATAAATCTGAGAAGTTTAGTAAAAAACAACCATGGCACAAATTATAAGTCTGAGGAGTTTGGTTAAAAAAAAAGATGGAACTTAAATGAACACAAAGCTCAAGGAATATAGCTGTCTTAGGATGAGATTCACTTCTACATATTGGAAAGGAGAAAGGGGAGAAATAACATTTGTGGTAATATGTGTACGGGAGGAGGCAGCTGAGAATATAAAGTCTGACTTCAAAGAGCTGGGCAGTCCAGGTGTGACCACAGTGCAGTGATATACGGAGGTCAAGTGCTGGATAACTGAAGCACTAAAACAGATGAATTCCAAACCAACGGGTCAAGGCAGCTTTCAGCATAAACCTGAGGAGACTGGAAAAATACCACTAGAAAGTATGTGTGAAAATAGACACAGGAGAAACGAAGTCTAAGAAAATGCTAGTTTCTTACTTCAAGCCATGCTTTGCATATTAGAGCATCTATAATCAAGTATGCTAACACTCTACAACAGAAACTTAAAATGATCACAGCCTACTTTTGTGTGTGCTGTTATTAACAACTGCACCACAAAAAAACAACTACAAAGAAACATTCAAGTGAAAACTACTTTCCCATCACTGTGGCACTTGTATAGCTGGTCCCATGACTTACCTGGTCATACCCATAAGGTCTCTGCTGGGGGGGCTGTGGTGGTCCAGGCTGTGTGGGTCTGTATCCCCCATACTGCTGACCTTGTCCCTGTGGATAGTTAGGATACTGAGGCCCTGGACCACCCTGTGAAGGACCTGCAAAATAGTTAACACAAATAAAAGCCCAAATAAAAATATACATTTCTCAAACATTAGAAAAGGTTTAAAACAAGATATTATAGAGGCCGGGGAGATGGCTCAGTAGGATAAGCGCTTGACTGGCAAATGCAAAGATCTGAGTTCAATCCCTGGTTCCACAAAAAATAAAATAAAATAAAATAAAAAATAAAAAATAAAAAATAAAACAAGATATTATATTTTTATATCTAAATTAAAAAGAACTGTTTGGTACCTTTTCTCAAAAAAAATCTCAATGGTTATACTAAGAGTAATATTATAGTGCTACTTCAGTGTAATTACTATACTATGCTCTAGTAATTCTAGATGTGTACGTGAAGATGAGCAAGAAAGAGTAACAGAATTAAAGAGCAAGTTATTCCATAAAGGCAAGAATATTTACATAAATATATATTAAAAAATCAGTTTGCATTTTGGCCCTAGCCTTCCAAGGTCAATTAAGACTCAGGACATATGAGAACTTGTACTGTAACGTCATGTAACTCAGTAGTGTCCCAAATTTTCTGATCAAGGAGATTATGGGGCCACAGAGGAAAGTGATCGATGATGTAGAGTGTGCCTAAGGAGAGTCACATAGAGAGAAAACATTCTCTCAGGCTTTCACAGAGAGTAAATTGGCCAAGCAACGACTCATTCACATGGCTGACACTGACAAAGGATCTACAATCTGAGGTACAGGGTCTCAGGATAAATCCTGAGGGAATTTCACTGACCTTATCAGATCCAAAAGCTACAATTCTTGTTGCATAGGTCTTCTTGCTTTATCTTGGTCTTAACCATTCAGCAGAAAAGTATAAAAACGAAGTATAAGAAGTAAAGCCATGTTGTTATGTTGACCTGTAGGGGACTCAGGTCAACAACTTCTGACATTGCCATTCAAGCGGAAGACCCAATACTATTATGGACTATTGGACTATTTTGGAATATTTTGCTGAGTTCACCCACCTATAATATTTAAATAATGGAACTAAACAAAAAAAGGGGATATAGATCAATGACCATTTTGTATCTATGTATTCAAAATGGTTAGGATAGATACATAGCTACAATCTCTTAATTCAATGAACAGAAGGATTTGTTCTAATAGTGTTTGTGAATAAGATATCATATCTGCATCTTGTTAAACAAGTAACCACTAGGAAGGCAGTGTGCAATGTGTTAATTATGGGAACTACCCTACCAATTCGATTTGAAACTGTCTCACTGCTATTTATTTCTCAATAAAATTATGGAAAAGAAATAATTAATACATTGCAAAAAAAAAAAAAAAAGTGCTCCACAGTATTGCTGACAATGTGGGTATTCATATATTGCTGGTGAAAGTCTACACTGGAGCAATTTGTTTTTATTTTTTCCATTTTAATACATTTGTGATACATAACCACTGATATATGTTTTATGGGGAGAAAAACTCAACACTATCTAAATTGTAAATCAAGTGTGCTTTAGACCAAAAATTCCATCCCTGAGAATTTACATATGTGTGTGTAAATATGCTTCCAAAAGATTTGTTGCTTTATTGTAGTAAGAGCAAACGTCCATTAATAAAGGACAGATTTAGAAGTAGGGTAAAAAGGAGAAGGGGAAGTAAAAAGAATTAAGATGTGGCATATGTACTACTCTTCACAATGGATAAAACCATCATGTAGTACAAGCATGTATTAATAAATTTTTTTAATTAGAAAAAAGATCAGTTTGTATAAGCAAAAGGCAGAAAGAAAAAAGATGCAGATTGAAAGAATATTAACAAAAATAATCTCTAAATAAATTTTGGGAATAAATTGGAATTGTAATACTATGGATTTATACATGTAATCACCAAAAGAATCGTATGGGTATAGTCTGCATCCAGAAACTTATTATCACTGTTATTTTAAAACGGAAACTAAAAACTTAAAAAAGCCACAATGATATGTGAAAAATCTGATTCTGTTCCTAAAAATGATTTCAGCCTCTAGGGGCAGCAAGGATTTGGTTTGCTAAACAAGAACCTCTGTTTTACAAGGTCTACTATGGCCAATTTAAAGAACAATTTAGGAAACGTAAGCTGGAAGCTTTGATACTTTGATTTAATCACCTATTTGTGTTCTCATACAAATACAACAAAATCAGAATATTTTACTTATTCAAAATACAAACAGTAAACAGTCACAGAAGGGAAATAAAAGAAGAAAGTCGCAGAATATTTCTAACACACATACAGAAGCAGGAAATATTTTAAATAAATGCTCTTATAATAAAAGGCTAATATTGCGGACTTCCAAAAGTGTAACTTTTATAAAAATAAGCATTAACTATCTATTGACATATTTCAACACTTTCTGGCGGACAGAGCCGCAACAAGCCATACCATAGCCCTGCTGCTGCCCAGGGTAGGCCTGCTGCCCAGGGTACTGCTGCTGCTGGGGCGGGTAGCCTGGCTGCGGAGGCGGGCCCTGGTACGCATCTTGCTGCTGGCCATACTGCGAGTTTCCTAACAGTAATTGGAGAAGAGGAATAGAGCACTGAGACGGTGGCTTCATTAACATTTTGCCCTCTAAGATGCATAGCCAACAACACAAGAACAAAATGAAATGCCATATTGATTTTTTAAAGTTAACAAAACAAAGAAAAACTCAAACCAAACAGAAGGATTTCGGCCAAACAAACTGCAGTTAAAGCCAATTTTGCAAGGTTGAACTGCAGCATTTTCAGCGTCTCTGCCATACGAGCATTACATTTACTGGAACATCACAGTCATAAGATCATGACTATGCTAAATAAAATAAAAAAGACAAAATTAAAGACAGCTACAAGAGCACACACTAGCTACACAAAATCAGCAAGCTGTTTCCTAAAGGCACTAGACTTATATGTAAAATTTTACATATGTAAACACACATGAGGGAAAAAAACTGGATTGATGGGATTTATGTAAATACAAATTTTCCACTGAGGAAAAAATTATTTATAAATGTTTTAGTCTTTTTATTGTTATTAGAAATGGCAAGTCATGGTTATACGTTTTAAATATCTGTAAGGTAAGGAAATTATTTTGATTGCTTTGGGCTCCCTGTAACTTTCAAGACAGCCAGCGACTAGTATTCTACAAGAGCTTTGCATGGGCAGAAGTTGTCTTATGCAAGAATTTCCATTCCTGTAGAAGGGCATATATATGTGTGTATGTGTGAAGGTATATAGATACCTCCTTCGTAGTAATGTTGTGAGGAATCCTCATAAGGCCTATCGTAGCCTTGTTCAGGATACGACGGTTGCTGATAACCGTAATCATTATGACCTACATCAATTCGACAAGAGACAGGAAGAAACGTTAATGGCCACTGAGTGAAAACCCTAAAAATATTTAAACTTTCAGATAAAATTGAAAAAAAGAAAAAGAAATGGAAATACATAAAAAATTTCAATTGCATTAGCCAAATATTTACCAATGTGATTGCTTTCATCTTGCAATAACGTGCAAATTTATTTAAAGCAAAAAGCAGTAGTTTTAGAACATTATTACATTTATCCTCTTAACTCTGATAATCCTCATTAAGGAGGGGAAAAAAACTTTTATCTTCCATTAAAAAAAATTGAAAGCATTTAGGTCTTTCACATGTAAATAACTTGAATTAAATTAGAATGAACAAAGAAAGCAATTATCATATTTTGTCAAACACCTGTTCTGTTGGTCTCCAATTCCACAGCATATGCGAAAAACAACACATAATATAAAAGAACTTCGTAATTTTTCCCCTGAAAGAAACTGAAACACATTTTTCATATGCTGGTCTAACATGTGCTTATGTACAGTTCATGTACCTGAAAGTATTTTAGATGTAAATATTCATTTAATGCTACCATTTTCTAGATCTTTCGAAAATATTTCTAAAGTTCAATAAACATGCATCTACACAAAATTAATAGTTCTGAGTCAGAGTATACCTTTAAGACAAAATAAATTTCATCTGTAAAGTGACTGGACTTTACTCATATCCTGAATTTTAATAAAAAAAATTGTAGAAAATAACCTTTCAAATTGTAAAAACTGAGCTAAATTTTACAAGAATGTTCAATTTGGGATGGAACACTGTATTTCTCGATAAATGGTACACTTCACACCCTAGTATTTGAACGCTCCCAAACTACTAAGTATCTACACCAAGGGATGACAAACTATGGCCTACAGTCTTAATATGGCTAATGGCCTGTTTCAATAAGTAAAATTTTATTGAACACACTGCTGCTTGTAAAATTAACTGCTGTCAGTAGCCGCTTGCATGACACAGCTAGGAGTTCCACAGTTGAGACCAAGATCATACGGTCTACAAACACTTTACAGAAAAAGCCTGCCAACTATTCATCTATATGTTCATTGGCATAATATCTGGACATGAGAAACAATAGCCAATGCTGTTCAAGAAAATAACTGTTCCTATGATTAGAATATTCTATGTACATATTAAGATTCTATTTATGTTCTTCTATGCAAAAATGATAGCAATTAAGCAAAGAGCCCACTAATAAACTATATTCTTAAACTTGACATTTTCCAAATAGATATATGTGGAATAGATAGGTCACGTAACAAGACAAATTTCATATTTTAATAAATATTTAAGAGCAAGAAAAATGTTAATTTCAAGTCAGTTATGTGAGATACATTTGAAACAATTACACCAATCATTTAATTTCAGATTTCCTAATACATAGTTTAAAAAATACTGATATGCTTACAAAGATAATCTTACAAAGTATTTCTATCTCTTCAAAGTATCTATAATCTACTATAGCTTTCATGAAGTTTTCAACTAAAAATATACCATGTCTATACATGAACCGCCAAAAAATGTGAAATTAAAAAATATATCGTTTTAACCAGAATTATCCACATATGTCAGCATTATCACTAATAGTCACTGTATGCAAAATTTGAGAGGTGCTTGCTCTGTCATAGGCAGGGCCTCTACAGCAAAAAGTCCACGTCTCTAAACACTGCACTGACAAAAGAAGACAGGTGATTACATTTATCTATCTATATTACATCTATCTGAAGGAGACTTCAGATACACTACATTAAATAAATCTTCTCACTCCCTAGCTTACGTCAGTTCCTAGTCAATGGCTCCTAACGCTTCCTACTACTTCAGAAACTAGTAGGTATTAGTTTCTCTAAGTAATTTACACTAAATACACCAACAGAGGTTATTATATATATCAATCTTTTGGTAAATCCTTTCATAATGAGACAAGTCATTTTGTAATATAACCGCTTATTAATTTATCAGTTTTATATGCCTGGATTATTTTTTCTTCAGTGTTGTAAGATTTTAAAAAGAAAAGCTAGAAGAACTGCATGGTGAAAACACAGTAGCAGTAAGCTCATGCATGCTACAGCTACGTAGATTTTCTCATAGTGCAGCGCTTCTTTACTAGTCAACTTCTCACAACCTACTTTCCCACTATAATAAAACCCACTAAAATAAATAACTACCAATCTAGCTTGCAAATGCCTTGTTTATCCTATTAAACCTTTACATAGCTATAATATGGATATAACTTAGTTCCCTAAAATTTTTTCTGAAATACACAAGCACTAATGTATATAAATTGCAGCACTCTGAGAACTATGCATGATGAAACTGGAAAAATATCCCAGCATTATATTCTCTACATATTTATACACTACAGAAGAATAAATCAATAGGTGAACATTGCAATATATCAACTACATTCCAAAAAAGCTGTAATTTTTTTTTTTTAAAAAGAAGTCAGTAACACTTGCTTTGGTTCATGTGAACAATCCCAAATACAAAAGGATCCTCTTTCACGTAAGAATTCTAATGACAGAATGTGATTCATGAAGGCACTAATGGAAGAGCTAAGGAAATACACCCTGAATTAGATTGAAAACTAATGCTATTATTGGTATTTTAGATTACTAAAGTGTTTCTAAATTCTGAACAAATTGATAAGTGTCTTGATCTTCATTAGAATGCTCCAAATAGCCTCCCATACCAAATACTGGGCAGGGAAAGAAAATGGGACGGCTAAGAGCAGGAGAGATTACCATCCGGGTAGTACTGCTGGCTCAGGCCTTCTGCCGGACCCTGTCCGCCATGGCTGTACTGGTCCCCGTAATAGTCCTCCTGGCCGGAGTACTGCTGGGGCGGGCCTGAAAAACCACAACCAGGCAGGATGTAAATGATGCGTTCTATCATCAAAGGCATTCTTTATTATCCAATGTTATGTGAAAGTGTTTCTCAGTCACTGACTCTCCTCCGATACTCTGGCATCACTGATACTTTTAATTACTCCTATGCAATAGACGTACATATATACTGCAGTTCCACATATCACATTTACAAAGACTAATATTTAAGGCCATATATAATATCAAACAATACTCAGGAAAGCAAACAAAAAAGGGGAGGGTCAATGTAAGAGAAAAAAAAAAATTTTTTTGACATTAGAGCACTATAAAATAATTTTTTAGTAGTAACTTTGTTCCTGGCCATATATTTAGTAATTTCTAAAAAATAAAATGGTGTTTTCTGCTGTAAACTGAACTTTTTATATAAAATTTTGTAATATAACCCTTTCCCAAAAAATAATGAAAAAGAAACCTGTGCACCAGAAAGTTCCTATCCATTTCATGATCTTCTACACCTACTTTAACTACCTTTTGATGGGGGGAAAAAACAAAACAAAACAAAACAAAACAAAATCCATGTATCAGAAACAAAAGCCCTGACTTTGCCTCTAGATGAAAGCTCATTAAAATTTAAAACCTTTCAATTACTGTTATTTATATTAAGCAGGAAATTTCCCAAATGGAACTTACCCTGCTGAGGGGGTCTGTAGGGAGGAATCTGTCTCTGTCCCATCATATGATTGCCTTGGTTAACTTGACCCATCATTCCCATCGGGGGCTGCTGTCCTTGGTAGTGCTGCCCGCCGGCCTGTGGCATACTGTACTGTTGAGAGGGAGGCTGCTGATGCATCATTGGACCTGCAAACAGATAAAACATTAAGCAGATTAAGTTTGTGAGATATATTTTTAACATTAAGAGAGTTTTAAGAATCTTCCGCTATATAATGCACAAAATATCTAGTTAAACACACTGACATCAAATAAAAGCAAGTCTTTTAATTAAAGCTCAAATGTGTAAAATATTCCACAAACATGGGAAAACTGAGGCATTTGATCTGAAATCCACTGGAAGAGTATTTTAGTCCTTTAAAAAAAAAAAAAAAAAAAACAAGCTGGGCCTGGAGGTTGAGGCCTACAATCCCAGCTGATATGGCTTGAGTCTAATCTTCCCCATCAAGCCTCATGGGGGGGAGTGGGGTTCAGAGGGGGCTGGATCTAGTGTGTATGACATGAGATTGACTCATGGGTGTCAGGATTAAGGGAGCCATATTACAAGTGTGAGTGCTGTCCAACCTAAGGGCAGGCAATCTGGATTAGATGTAAGTAAAAGAAAGAGGATTGCCATTGGCCCCTCGCTTGTTTGCCGTGCTTCTGCCCACCAGGAACTCTCTCTAAAACGCTGGTCTGCCATGCCACCCTGCCTTGGAGCCAGACACTGAAGGACTGAAATCTCTACAAACCGTGAACTAAATGAACCTTTCTGTCTTGAACTTTGGGTGTCAGGTATTTTGTCTGAGCAAGAAAACTAGGAAGTAAGACACCAGCATTCTGGGAGGTTGCAGCTGGAGGATCCCAAGCCCAGGCATGAGCAACTTAGCAATTTAGGGAGACCAGTCCTCAATATTTTTAAAAATTCCAAAAGAGCTCAGGATGTCACTCAGTACAAAAAGCTTTGGGCTCAATCTTCAGTACCACACACAAACACATGTACACACACACACACACACAAAGAAAAAGATATATGAATACCCTGATATATACTCTATATGTATTTTCCATTTTATAAAATATTTGACTACACAACATACTCTCTCTAGAGAAAAAGAAAGCAATCTTTCTGTTACTTCAGAAAAAGACATCAGAAATACATTTCACAAAAATCACACAATGAATCAATAGTCAAACCAAGGGAAAGAAACCAAATTTCTGGTCTACATTTTAATATTTTTCACAAACCATTTAATAAGGAAAGGCACAGAAACTACACAAACATTTCCAAGTAGCATATCAGTACAATTTCTTAAGTTTTTATTTTAGAACAAAAATCTAAAGGGTTTCTTTCCCTTCCCAAATCTTTTGCAAGCTTGATAAACTAAAAAGTTTTACTGAAATGAAAAGGTTATAGTTCCTTCTAATAAGTCACTAAAACACACACACTCATTCTAAAACCACCTTGGCAGAGAAGTACAAGAAGCTATAGGTTCAGAAATTTAAACTATGTGAGCAATTTCTAGACTTAACAATGGCAGGGGAGCCCAACAATCACCACTACAGAATCACACAATACTAAAAACATCACACAGAAGAAACAATAATGGCTCCATGGTCCCATGGTGTCATCTACCCAAAATAGGAAATTCCTCAGAGGTTTCCTGGGCCCAGCTATGGAGCAGGGAGCTCATTCTTCTGCCATTATGACCCTTTCTGTCTCACAAGTATGCATGAGTCATCTCCCAGGACACTGCTTACATAGCACCACACTCCTTCCTTTGCTGACCTGGGGACTATTTAAGAAGAAACTACAAAGGCAAACATTGAAGAACTTAGAAAGGTTTTACCCTGGCAAGAATAGTCCAGGTGAGCCTAAAGTTCACTATTTATTTTAAATGAACAACTAAAAACAAAACAAAGCAATCCTCCCTCTACTGACCTACAATAGCAACAATGTAAGTAGAAAGACTTCACACCTTTTCCTGTGAGACACTAGCTGAAGGAATGCTTTACCAAAGTTAACTTTTTCGTCCTATTCACTACATCTTTTTCTTCTATTCCTCTTCCCTAATTGTCAGAGGTTACTCTGAGACCCTTCTTCCAACAAGAAAATGTATTTTGAACAGCAGGACAAGGTAGGTCCCCAAGTGAGGCAGGATGAGAATTCAACATATAACACACCACCTTCGTTTGTTTCCTGTAAGGTGCTAACAATCACCAAAGGAAAGGAGTCCAACTTCCTCAAGTTTTTTGCCAAGGAATCCAAAGGCCAAAATCATAGAGCCATTAGATATCAGTTGGGAATACGACAAAGCTCATCGGATTTCAAAGTACATGCTTGTGTTCCACTGGCTCAAATTCACAGTTCAGAAGCAAAAATGAGAGAAGGATAAAATGGAGAGAAAGCTTCATACCTAGGGAGGGGAAGAGGGCTGACAGGCAGACAGGTGAAGGGAATGAGAAACGGGAGGAATCAAGCTGTATCATGCACAGGTGCAAATTCCCTGTGATGCATGTGATTGTTATGTACAGCTAAGTGGTACCGATAAACTTTATAATAATTTTTAAAACACATAATGATGTATAATACAGAAAATTTTTATACATCGATTATATCTCAATAAAGCTTTTTAAAAGTAAAAAAGTTCTAAAATACTAATGAGTTTGAGGTTATTCCTTTAAGTACACTTTGCATAAAACAAAGAATTGAACACTGACATTCATAATTTGATAGGCAACCTGACTGGATATTTGTGAAAGTGAATGTTTTGTCATCTCCAATAATGTATAAAAACACCTGGCCTTAACTGAAAGTGACAATAAAACTAAAACATACTCTATGCAAGAAGGCAAAACTACAATAGCCAGGAGGAAAAACTCCAAAAAGATACATACAACAAAATTTTAAGCTTTGCTCTAAGGACAAAAATTATTCTAGCTTAAAGCCTGAACAGACAAGATCCTGTTGCGGAGAGGATAGGGCTGCGGGTGCTCTATCTTCTGAGACGGGCAGCAGCTCCACTCCCAAGGAGCTCACTTTCCACCCTTTCTTTATTCTCTGTCACAACCCTCCCTCTGGGGATCCCAGTATCATTCAGGATTAAACTAAAAGACCACAGAGAGGTTGGAAGGGGCGAGCCCTACTAAAACATAGTATTTTCCACTGTTTCCTGGAAGCTTTACTCATTAAAGATAAAAAATTATGACTTTATGACTTCAATTCTGATTGGTAAGAAAGCACTGGTTTGCCTTGTGATACAGAAGACAATGTGCTACACACTGGCAATGTATGAGTATTATCTCCTGAGATATACTCACGGCAATAGGAAACCGAAATCTCAACAGGCTCCCTCAAAGTAAGTTCCAAAAAGTGTACTAGAGTAAAATAAGACTACAAGATGAGTTTATTACAAATAACAATTTTGTGCAAACAACAGCAGCATATACTACCATATGCTTAGGAGGTATTACTCGGCTTTTACATTTTGCTGTTAAGGTTCACTACAGAGTGTCTTACATATGCAAAGATTCCACTAATACCTTAATTACTTACAATATATTTTTTCTAGACATAAAACAAATAATACACCATTTCTTCTCATTTTAAGTTTTATACTCTACTACATATTCTATCTAAATAATACATAAGATATACCTTAAACACATGTAAGGTATTTCCAAATTACCATACTGCACTTTTTACTGTTGGAATTTTTTTTTACCTTAAATTAGTAAGTAAACAGAAATATTTCAGGATCAAGTTGAAGTACTTATATAATATATGAGACACAAGGCCAGGAGACACTGTGAGAGAAAAAATGTGAGGATTGGCACCATTTCTGTAACTTAAAACTAGGCAGAGTTTGCATAGATGTAGCTTTTAAATGTTCCATACACATCTGTATATATTTACATCTTCAAATCAAATTAATAAACTACAGCTCTACAAGTTGTATCATTTATTTAAGAGTTATTTTAAATATATAGTTTGGCTTGTTTGTTTTTTGTATTTTAGGGAAAGTCTGCAGGGTGTTCAGGGTGTCACTACTAGATTGGACTCTAGTGATCTGCCTGTTTACAGCCTCCCGAGTGCTGGAATTACAGGCACGCACCACCATGCCCTGTCTTAACTGCCACTGCAGCATGCCCCAGGGGCAGGGCTGGCAAGGCAGGCCTGGGGATCAGACTCCGGCCCCTGTGCCTGCTTGCAGGCGCTTTAATCCATAAATACAGTTTTAATGCTAGCTAATATTTACTGAACATTTATGATAAGCCAGGCACTAAGCTAACAGCTTTATATATACTATTTGTCCTCCTCAACTTCATTTTATAAACAAGAAAGATTAGCCTTACAAATAAGCTCTTACTCAAAGTCATGTCGCTAAGTGGGGAGAATGTGAAAGCTCAAACTCTTAACCATTCACACACTTATTTTCCAAAGTCAAAGCGTATTTATCAAATGTCATTATTTCTCAACAAAGTAGTTCTAAATAATTTATTTCCAGTATAACATATTGTCCTAGTAAGATACATGAAAAGTCTTAAACCTACACATACCTGTTATATTAGACCTTCTTATATTGTGCTATTTATTCTGTAACTATTCAATCTCAAATCATTTATAGTTCTCATTTAAAGGTATTACTAATATGTTTGCAAGAAAAAATCCCTATACTCTAGCAAATTAGTTAACCTATTATCTATTTAAATAGCCATTTAAAATGAGAAAGATTCTTTATATAATGTCCACATCACAAATTTCAAATAGCTCACAGTGAAAATATTTGAATGCCAAAGATAAAAGAGCCAGCGCCAGGTATCTAAGAAAATGTACGATTATCTCAGAAGCTTGGTAAATTCAATTAAGGATAGGCTTCGCTAAGTACCTAAGTAACAAATGAAATAAAGTGACAGAGTTCAGCTAGCGCAAACAGTTCACAAAGATACAAACCTTTCAGTAACATGAAATTTTTAATTATGTTCTCATAAAGTAAAAAGTATTAAAACGATTGTAACAATACGTTTTGTTACTGCCATTTGTTTTTTTAATGACACAGACCATCTTTATATGCAGATATTCACAGTGACCAGTTCCTAAACCTGTAATGCTCAGGCGTGGGTAACTTCATGCCCTGAGAGCTATTCAG